ATAAATTAGCGTCATAAATAATGTAAAGCTGATTTGAATTTTTTTATTATCAGACAAAAAAAACGTTATTGGCTTTAACTTTTTTTCTTTTAAATTGTGTTCTGTGGATTTTTTTATGTATTCAATTTTATATTATCTCGGTATTAATTTCGTTTGTATTAAGGGATTCCATGTGCTGAAAAATCACTTCTTCTTGCAATTTACAATACAAATAGATATATTTTAAATATCTTTAAAAATATTTTTTTTACGACTTCCGTCTTTAAAGCGAGAGGACGTGTTTTTGCTTATTATACAGAATCTTTTTAAAAAAAGATTTAAAAAGTGAATTAATAATGGTAAATGTACAAATTCGAGATTTCAACATTTATAAATAAATTCAAGAAAAGAAATTCGAACTTCGAATTTCGAATTTCGTCAAGAGCTTCAAATCGAAGCTCTTGACGCTTTAGTAAGCGACTTACTGAAATGAAATGAGTTTTTCGAGAAGCGTATATCTGAACTAGAAAATGGAAAAATAAATAATCAAAGTTCGAAAGTTTTGTTTAGCAGTCTATTTACTGATAATAAACCAAAGATAAATGTGCATGAGGCTATATTTCTAAATGTTGTCTCTGTTCAGAAAAAAACTTGTTATTTTTTGGTATTAATGAATCGAACGAAACAGATGTAAACAAAAAAATTGACGACGATAAAAATGCTATTAATGGAATATTTACAGCACTTAAACTTGATAATGAGAAAATTACGCGTCATCATCGTTTTCATTCAAAAAATGAAAAGCCAGGAATAATAATTATTGAAATGGACAATAAAAATTCTGCTCAAGAAGTAATTAAGGAAGCCAGCAAACTGAGTAAAATCGACGAATATAGAAATTTATATCAACCCTGATCTCACCATAGCGCAACGAGAATGCAAAAAATTATTAATCGCGGAAAGAAATAAATTAAACAATAATCAAACCGAAAACCAGCCCTTTCGATTTAACATCAAAGATGAGAAAATTATCAAAATTAAAATTAATAAAAATGACTGACCAAAATTCAAAAAATATTATTAAAAGAAATGTAAAAATTAATAAGTACAACATCAGTAACAATAATAATAATAACAATAATACAAAAACTCATTTCCGAAATGAAAAGGGTGTTAATACACTGTCGAATTCGAGTGATAAACTTAGTGAGATAACATGCTTATACACAAATGCAACATCGTTGAACAATAAATTAGATGATTTAATTGAGGAAATAAATTCAAGCAAAGCTGATATTATAATAATAAGCGAGACATGGTGGACGAATTCTTCAGTTACAAATATAGAAGGATACACTCTCTTTAGAATGGATAGAAACATTGGTAGAGGTGGCGGAGTTTGTATGTATATAAAAGATAAAATCAAAGTCTATGAGGTTCCAGAGAATTGTTTAAATAACCCAAATGTAGAGCAAGTTTGGTGTATAGTTGAATTATGTTTAGAAAAATTATTATGCGGATGTGTATACAGAACGGGAGCAAGCGATATGAATAATTGTAATGATATAATTAAATCTATAAGATACGCTCATTCTATGAATATAAATAAAAAGTTCACAGGGTTATTAATATGTCGGGATTTTAATTTCCATACAATCAAATGATCTGAAGAATATTTTGGAATGTTATTGAACGCGTCTGATGTACAGGCTAAAATATTCCTAGAGTGTTTAAATGATTGTTTTTTACACCAAAACGTAATAGAACCTACATTTCAGAATAACGTAGGAGTAATGACTAACGTATTTGATCTAATTCTCACTGAATGGAAAAATCGTATTTTCGGATTAATTCATCTCCCACTACTAGGAGGTATTAATCATGGGCACCATATTATTAAATTCAAATATAGCTTTGTTAATTGTAAGATCGATCGATCTTACTAAGAAATTTATCTTTTCATATATAAACTTACTTTCGATCGAAAGTAAGTTTATATATGAAAAGATAAACTTTAACAAAAGTAATTACTATGAAATGAGCCTATATTTTAAAACTATAAACTGAAGTAGAGAATTTCACAATAAAGATGTGAACTCGTGTTATGAAAAATGGTTCTCTTTGTATCATTAAGGTTGTAAAAAGTACATTCTATTTACTAAATTATCAAACAATCAGAGAAATAATGTAGCAATTTGGATGAATAATGAATTAAAGCTACTTACTAAAGAAAAAAGGCAACTGTGGTTCGAATTTAGAAAATTAAACTTTATTGACAATCAAATGCTTGAGTATTATAAAGAATTAAACAAGAATCTTATGAAACATCTAACAAATAACAATAAATGATGAAACATCTAACAAATAACAATTTAATTAACGTGAACCAACATGTCTTTGTAAACAAAAATGTTGTGTTTCAAATTTGTCGGAAATATTCGATTATATTACAAGCTCAGTTAATGAAGGTTGGCCATTGGTGATCCTATTTCTGGACTTCGCTAAAGCATTCGACTCGGTAGACCATGAGAAGTTATTATTTAAGTTAAAAAGCCTTGGATTTGAATAGAAAGTATTAAACTGGTGTAGAGGCTTCTTAAAAAACAGATCGCAGAGAGTGGTATTAGGTAGTTTTGAATCAGATTGGGAGGAAGTTGTAAGCGGCGTACCACAAGGTTCAGTTTTAGGTCCTCTCTTATTTGTTGCATTTGTTTACAGCATAACAAAAAGAATCAAATCACTTTGTAAAATGTTTGCTGATGACACGAAACTCTTTCGAGCTATCAAAGATGTGAACGATTCAATTGAACTACAACAAGATATTAATTCATTAGTAGAAAAGTCAAACGAGTGGTCACTAAAATTCAATAAACAAAAATGCAAAATAATGATATTTGGTAATAGTCAACAACAGTTCGAATATATGGTCAAGGGCGAAAAATTAGTGGTTACAAGTTTGGAAAACGATTTAGGAATTCTAATTTCAAACGATTTGGAATGGAATAATCATGTAAACTGTGCAGTGAACAAAGCAAATCAAAAACTCGGTCAAATCAAACATGTTTTCCGTTATATGAATGAGATTATGATGAAGATGTTATTTGCCTCATTAGTTAGACCTCACTTAGAATATGCAGCCACAATTTGGAACCCGTACTGGCAGTATGATAAGGATAAATTAGAGAAAGTCCAACAAAGAGCAACTAGAATTGAAAGTTTACGAGGGTATAGCTATTGAGAGATACTTAAAAAACTAGTTCTTCTATTATCGCTCGAAAATAGAAGAAGAAGAAGGGATTTAATTCAAATGTTCAAATATTTTAAAGGATATAACATAATTAATTTTCGCCGTCCATCAGAAATAATTGATAATGAAAGAAAAACAAGGGATCACAATTTGAAATTAAGAAGGCAATTTAAAAGTAACATGAAAAGATTTAGTTTCTTTACAAATAGAGTGGTGAATTATTGGAACAACCTCGATCAAAATGCAATAGATGCAAGTACCATCAATCAATTTAAAAACAGAATAGACAAACATTTTAAATATTAGCGATTATTTTTTAAAGCTATTTTGTTTTGTTACAGCTGTTACAGTCTCGAACTCTGCGTAGTTTGGACTCAACACTCAAGAAATTGAGTGTACAGCATATTTCTATTCTATTCTATTCTAAATTAGGGCAACTAGAGGCAAGTTTTGAAAAATGAAATATATTTCTAAAAACTAACGAAATTTAATTATGTAAAAATATTTTTGGTCAAAATATGGAGATTTTTTTAAAAGTCAATTTAAACTTTCAAAAAAAGTAGTAAAAGAAGAAATACTTCTACGCGCTAATTGCTTTTACATAATTGATAAAATAATGTATCATTTTAACTTACTTAAATCTTTAAAAATATACAAAAATAATTCACTTTAAAGAAATCAAAAATATTAATTATTTCAAAAGTTATGTATTATTAGGCTCACTTTACATTAACTCACTGTAAACTAAGCTGAGGTAAAAAATATTCTCTACTTGAGTTCATATTACAAACAAACTGAGCTATTCATTCAAAAATAGACCACGTTTATTATCACTTTCAAGAGTTTACTTTAAGCTACTGCATAAAAAAATGTTTTTTAATACTAAAAAAAAAAAAGGGTTTCTGCCAAAAAATCGGGTCTCAGAAACCATAGTACCACCGCCTGAATTATTCATTCCCACAATGACAAACTCAAAACGAGATAGCGCTTTCGGGTTATAACTGTTAGAAGTGTACCTAATACGTCCGTACTAGGGAGTACGGATGTTTTAGGTACACTTCTAACAGTTTTAACCCGAAAGCGCAATCTCGTTTTGAGTTTTTCAGAGGGAGAAGGAATAATTCAGGCGTTTTGAATAATCTTCTACAAAACTTTTTTCTATATATTACTTAGTGGTTCTTGTCAAGAAAACCTCTTTTATACTTTTCACGAAAGTTATTCAAATATTAAACAATGCTTTGTCTATTCAAACCCAAACATATTAAATTGTATTAAAATCTAATTATTGAAATGTTTCAAATTTATTCAATTTTCTTAATCAAACTCTTAGGCCGAGTTGTGTAAGTGTGTATATATATATATATATATATATATATATATATATATATATATATATATATATATATATATATATACATATATACATATATATATATATATATATATATATATATATATATATATATATATATATATATATATATATATATATATATATATATATATATATATATATATATATATATATATACACACATATATACATATATTATATATATGTATATATATATATATATATCTATATATATATATATATATATATATATATATATATATATATATATATATATATATATATATATATATGCAAATATATATATATATATATATATGCAAATATATATATATATATATATATTTATATATATATATACATATATATAATTAATTTTATGACTCTTTAACAAAAACCACATTGTTTATACATTTTTCTTTCTTTTTTGAGCAGTCCTTTGAAGATGCCATATAAATTAAATGCTCTACTTCCTTTTATAATTTGTAAACAGCAGCCATCTTTCCATCAGCAAATAATTTTTTAAAAATAAATTTCTCCAAAAATAAAGTATTTTTGAATTTCTAATTTGACTCAAGAAAATTAGCTTAAGTGGTAAGTAATATGTATCATTTACTCTAGGCACATTTTAAATAAATAATTAATTACATTAAATAATCTTTTATTTGTTGAAATAATAATTCTAAAATAATTTATCAGTTGCATATTGAAACCAATTCAAACGAATGTTGTTGTTTTTGTAATAAAATTAACAATTGAACATAACACTTTATTACCAATATTAGGAGAACATGCACAAAAAATGTCACAAGTTCAAGAATGTCTGTATCATTTATTATTAATACAACATATGCTCTTGTTCTCAAAATCTATGGTACTCATGAGAACACCTTATGGGTCTAGCTTTTTTTAACAGGCAAGTCCCTCTAGGTGTCAAATCAAAAATAGTAAATGCTCTCTTATTTAAAACATAACTGAGAGCTTCATGCAAGTTAACAATCATCTGATGTTTTAAATCTAGTTTTATAATATTTGATAATAACTGGATCAGATATTATCAGGGATTATCTTTTTTCAAATATTTCTCAAATTCCAGATTTTTTTTTTAACTTTTATTCTTTCTGTATATCCAAAACTCTTTCCATACATGTAAGTTTATATATATATATATATATATATATATATATATATATATATATATATATATATATATATATATATATATATATATATATATTTTAACGTATTTACATTACAAATATACATATCTAAACTTACATGTATGGAAAACGTTTTAGATATGCAAAAAGAATAAAAGTAAAAATTAAAATTATAAATTTACATAATAAGGTTAGGTGTCACTCATATAGTTGAAAACTAGTAAATGGAGTGACACCTAGAAAAAAGAAAAAAGGAAAGAAAGATAAGCAACAATAACAATAAAGAAGATTTAAGAAAAAAAAAAAAAAGAGGAAAAGAAAGTTAAAAGTAATAATATTTATAAAATAATAGTAACAATAATATGAATAAAAATAATATAAAAAATAATAACTGCAATATAACAATGTAAAAAGAATTATAAATGATAAAGCAATAGTAAGATAATTATAGTATAGTTAATAATTATAAAATAAACAATTTAAAGAACAGTTATAACAATAATGATAAAGCTACTGCAACTACTGAACTACTTTGACTATCATTATAGGTAATAATATTAAGGCAACAAAAACAAAGATATATAAATAATAATAGTAATAACAATAATAAAAATAGTAGTTGTAACAATGTAAAGAATAATAATAGCAATAAAAAAAATTAAAAAATTAAAATAAGTGTAATTAATTAAATAATATATTGAAGGAATAATAGCATTAATATTTGCTCACATAAAAATTTCTTAATTAGGTTTTTATTGAGAAGAAGAAAGTTAGTAACAAAAGGGTATTTAGTTAAAATCTTTTTTTTTATAAAACGTATTAATTGGTTCCAGTGAGAAATACATTGATGTTTTATGGAGAGCTTGCCATACTTGACAGTATTGAAAAAAGAAGGGTGCAAATAACTATTTATAGTAATACGAGTATAGTATTTATGTGTATCACTTGCTTTAATGAAAAAAATGTTAAACGAACCCGGCAGGTTATTTTGGAGGAAATCAAACACAAAAAGACAGTTGTAAAGCTTTATAAGATCTTGAAATTGTAAGGTTTTTAATTCAGAAAACCTTTTTTGGATATTAGATTGAATAGGAGAAAATGTCATAATTCTTATGGAAGCCCGTTGCAAACTGTTTATACGATTTAATAGAAAACTTCCTTGTTGCCCCCAAACAATGCAACAATAGCTTAGATGGGATGAGAACACGAATAGTAAATTGATGCTAGAGTATGTTCAGGAACATAGTGTCGTATTAAAGTTAACATACTATTGGCTCAAGAGAGTTTTTTATTTAATTGAATCATTTGATAATTCCAAGATAGGTTTTTGTCAAAAAATACTCAGAGATATTTTATAAATTCAGAAGGAAAGATTCTTTTACCGTTAATTTTAATTTTAACATTATCATTACTAATTATTTTTTTTGGAGGGTGACAAATAATGAATTCAGTTTTGTTGATATTTAGAGATACGATTACTATTTAACCAAAGACACAAATGATGGAGATCTGAATTAACTTTTTTACAAAGCTGAGTAAGTGATTTGTTTATGCATAGAAGATTGGTATCATTAGCAAAATGGTGTACAGTGGAATTGCTTATAGAGTGAGACAAGTCGTTTATATATATTAAAAACAGCAAAGGCCCAAGAACAGAACCTTGGGGGACATCATATTTGATAAATTTTTTGGTGGATTCAAACCCATTAATGGAGACAAACTGGCTACGATTTTTAATATATGATGAAAACCAATTATTAGCGATACCCCGTATGCCATAGTAGTATAACTTTTTAATTAAAATCTTGTGGTCGACCGTGTCAAAAGCTTTTTGGAAATCAATAAAGATGCCACAAGCAAATGAACCATTATCGATTGCACCACAAATCATTTCAGTAATGCTAATAAGAGCATGGGAAGTAGAGTGTTTTAAACGAAAACCAAACTGGCACTTAGAATAATAGAGAAAGTGGTAGATACAAGAATACATTAATTTTTAAAGAATTTTGCTGATATTAGATAATAGTGATATTGGTCTGTAGTTATTACAGTCAAGTTTTGAGCCTTTTTTATGAATTGGTTTAACAGATGCTGTTTTGAAAAGAAGAGAAAGCCTTGCCATCATTTAGGGAAAGAATAATAGATAAAATTTCAGTTTCATCAGTAGGTTTAATGAATATAGATTCAAGGTTTGGTGTTTTTAAATAGTTGTAGAAGTTAGTATGGGATGAGTGAATGTTTTTTTGCAATTCATCAGGTATTTAAATGAAGAACGAGTTGAATTTTCCCAATATTTTGTTTGGATCATGTATAATTGTGTTACTTGAAGATGGATATGGATATCTTCCAAACGAATATTCATGGGCTTTCTAATGACCTTCCACGTAGCTCTAAAATTATTGCTGTTAGAAGAAAAATAATTGGAAAAATGGTTTTTTTTGCTGCGTCGAATAAGTGTTACAAGTAAGTTTCTATAGGTTTTGTAAGTTTTTTCAAGATTTAGTTTAATAATTTTGTTTTGAGAAATTTTTTAAATATCATATTACGTTTTTCTATTGAGGTCAAGATTGCTGGAGTAATTCATGGTTTAAGGCTCCAAAAAAAAAAGCTCTAAATCTGATTTTCATTATCAGATATTATAAATCTGGATTCATAACATTAGATGATTGTTAACTTGTACGAAGCTTTCAGTTATATTTAACACCTAGAAGGCCCTTCCTTGTCATAAAAAGTTAGACCCACAAGGTGTTCTGATGAGTACCATGTATATATATATATATATATATATATATATATATATATATTTATATATATGTATATACATGTTTATGTATGTATATACATGTATTTATATGTATATATATATACATATATATATATATATATATATATATATATATATATATATATATATATATATATATATATATATATATATGTGTGTATAAATAATCATATATGTATATATGTGACTGACGTCTTAAGTATGTTACTCATATCTTTATCTGTTTTGTTAGAATATTTTAAACTTTAAACTTAGAAATTATGGCCAATAGTTCAGTTTCAAACACAAAAGAATCATTGCGTCAGCTTCACCAGATGGTGTTGCGCATTCAAGAAGAAAGAAATCGAAATGCTGACAACCTTTTGAACATCAATAAAACTCATGAAAAAATGCGCCATGAAACACGTGTTTCTGCTTATTTCAAGGGTAAATTAAAATCCCTTTACCGAACAGCTATTGCTGATGCAAAGTTAGAATCTGAATGTATTCAAAAGGCAATGGAAAGAATTATTGAAATAAAAGCACTCGCTAATGAAAAAACTTCAAAGAATAAAACAAAGGGTATAAGTCACACATTTTATCAAGAAGAACCAAGAAAAGGTATACGTCGCGGTGTTTTGATGTCACTATTACAACAAAATGCTATTAATTTACCAACATGGAAAGATCAAAACAATGATCCGCCTGCACTGTGTGGGGCAATACCTGCTGAAGCAAACTATATATGTCGACCTGGAGATCATGTCGCTGCTCGTGTAAAGTACCCTGATGAAGAAGAGCAATATATTTTAGCAGAGATTTTATCCTACAACCCTATTAGTGGAAAATACGACATTGAGGATATAGACTACTCAGAAGAAGAAGGAAAAAATGAAAAAGAAAGGCATCAATTAAGCCGGAGGCGCATCATACCATTGCCATTATATAAAGCTGATCCTCAACTAAATATTGAAGCATTGTTTCAATTTAAACAGCCAGTACTTGCTCTTTATCCACAAACTACTTGCTTTTATAAAGCAATTGTACATAGTGTGCCAAAAACAAAAGACATGGACTATACTGTATTGTTTGAAGATACATCTTACGCAGATGGTTATTCTCCTCCTCTAAGTGTACCTCAAAGGTATATTGTATCCTCGAAAAAAATAAGGTAATGGCAATAGTGTAAAAAATTCATGTTTGTCTATCTTGTAAAAATTATATTTGAAAAATTGGTATGCTGTTGACGTTAAGTTTTTTTTATTTGTTTATTTTATCAGTGCTATCCTAAATAAATAAAATACAAAATTTTAATAAATTGTACATTTTGTACAGTTTGAGTTATTTTTTAGTAGAGCTCTCCAATTTTTCTGACAAAAAAAAAGACATACTAAGCATCACAAAATAAAATAAAGTCAGAATATATATATATATATATATATATATATATATATATATATATATATTATATATATATATATATATATATATATATATATATATATATATATATATATATATATATATATTATATATATATATATATATATATAATATATATATATGTATATATATATATATTATATATATATATATATATATATATATATATATATATATATATATATATATTAGCGTGGGTCATAAATTTTTTTTTTCTTGTTATAGGCTTTAAACATTGCTAATAGTTATTAATATTGATACTATCAAATATGAGAATGATTGTGATAGATTTAAAGGGCGCAACTTTATTGGGAAAATTACCGGTACCCTCATAATTTGGAGAAAAAAAGTTTTTCAAAAGTAGGTCAACCTGGTACTCAAAAGAAGCAAAATTTTATAAAAAATTCGAAAATAATAATCGTTTTATAAAAATCATATTGCCAAAAAAAATTGTTATTAAAAAACATGTAAAAATGCACCTTTTTCACTTCTAGTTAAAAAACTATAGTTATTATGCAATAAAATCTAAAATAATAATTTTTATATGAAAAAAATATCATTTTTGAAATTTTTATAAAATTTCGCTTTATTTGAGTACCTACATCACATAATTTTGAAAAACTTTTTTTTTTTTGAATAATAATAGAGCCTGCTAATTTTTGTAATTATAGTTGCGGGTGGAAGACATTGTTCAATCCATAAAAGTAAATACTTTCCTAAATTAGTACATAAAAAAACAACTTTCTAGACGATAGCCAGGTTAGCAACTCTTTTTATGACCCACCCTAATATATATATATATATATATATATATATATATATATATATATATATATATATATATATATATATATATATATATATATATATATATATATATATATATATATATATATATATATATATATGCATATAAATATATATCAACCCTCGGAATCAAAATCGGCATTAATGTAATAAAAATGTAATTGTTGTAGTTATGTAGACATTAAGCCCTTATTGAGTAAAATAGCAGCTTAAGATATTATATTTTATTTTTGTGTTTAACCAGCTCATAGGAGCAGCAAAGAGGCGGTGGTGGGTGGAAAGATGCTGATGAGCGATGGGGCACCAGATGGATTTTTTATATATGATACTTTTGGGCATTGTCCAAACAACATCTTAAATGCTCCAAACTTATGTTCATGCTTAAATCAAAAAATATTTTGCAAAAAAAGTTGCGATGATTGAAACACTGGATCAAAAATACCCCCAAAAAGTTAGCCCCACCCCTAATATGAGGTCAATGAGTTCAAAAAGTTTTTTTTTGTAGCTACCTTACATTAAATTTAAATTCACCCACAGGTTTCAACTTTTATCGATCAAACTTTTATTCTTCGAAATCAAACTTTTATTCTTTGAAATAAGCATTATAAAAATTAAAACTTTATTCTTCTGCATCTATATCGAATTTTAGAATTTCGTCAACGTTGTCAACATTTAAATGTAACTCATTTAAGTCATTAATTTTATCTGGTTCCATATCAGATGAATTTTCTCTATCACCGTTGTACACTGCTAACAAACTTTTAACTTTTTCTGGTGGGCACAATATTTTCTCATTTTTCAATCTTTTAGTTAGAGATTGAGAAATAAGATTGAGCTAATTACTGGATCAAAAGTTTGTATAGCTCAAATGAAAATAATTTTGTTTCTCTGCTTTTTTTCCTTGCATGGAGTTCACAATCAAATTTTTAAGTTCTGTGTCGAGATTCAGCTGCTTTTTTCCCCATTAAACCAAGTGGAACTGGTGAATTTATAATAATTTCCCCGCCATGTGCTAATACCTTGTGAATGGAAGCTGGGATCATTTGTCTCTAACAATTACTAATACCAATCATTTGTCCCTAACAATTTCTTATATGTATCATTGTTGTATTAATCAATGTTTTTCCAGATTAACTTTGCCTTTGCGATTGATTTAATTAGATTTTTATGTAATCTGAGAGTAACTTCTTCATCAATTTCTAAAATTTTGCTGAGTAATAGAAAATCAGAAATGCTCGTCAGCAAAATTTCCGGTATTACTAGTTCCTGATCCACCAGCTCTTAATTCATCAACTCTCAAACCAAATTCTTCAAACATCCTATTATAAACAATTTTTTTTTTCTTAATAAGTATTGATCTTTTAAAACCTTTTTTACTATCCAAGATTTTATTTTAGAAAAACTTCAACATAACATTCATGTTCACTTTAGGTAAAGTATGTTTTTGTGCTTGATATATGTTTGTGTTTTACATCTAGCGTGGTCTTCACTCACCCGTAAGTAACTGAGTAAAAAGTAATTATATGTATGTTTGTGTTTCAATTCACCTTAATTTCAAGTATTTAGATAATATGCTTTTTTTAAATGAAAATTCTAAAACTTCCTTAAATTCACATCTCTTGACAAAGGCAAGAAATGGTGTCAATAAAAAATTATCTTAAATGTAAACTGGATCCAGCCACTGTCTTGTAGAATATCTCGTAGGCAAAGACAATAAGGTGACCTTGCAAAGGTAAGACTAGTAATCTATTTTACATTGATGTAAATCTGTTTTAAATTGTTTCCTGTCTTAGATGATGAATGCTGGACTTTAATTCTGGGATTTTGGTTTTATCTTCTTGATAGTAGTTACGCAACTCTTCCTGTTATCTCCTCATGAAGGTGCGGCTCTAAAAATTAGTTCAATGATTCTGAGACCGGCTGATAGTAAGATTTCTTGAACTCTGCGGCAGCTCTTAGAAAGACTGGTTCCATCAATAGCTGTAAAATATGTTTAAATATAGTATAACATCTTCATATATAAATAGTATAATATTTTACGCATAAATAGTGTTCCTGTATTTACTTTTATTATGGATTGTCTAGGCCACATTAGGAGCCCTTAGTACTTTGAGTTAATTAGCAGAACTGAAGTAGCCATATTCTATCTATGGTTGAGTAAAGTCTTTTTTTACCTGAAACTAAAATACCGAAGAATTAAGTAGTGAAGGTAAATCAGTTCACATTCACGTAACTAAAATACCTAAGAATTAAGTAGTGAAAAAAAATTAATTCACATTCACATAACTAAAATACCTAAGAGTTAAATAGTGAAGGTAAATCAATACTTAACTTGTGTTTTGTCTCTCAACTAGTGCTCAGTTTCTTCTTGTTCTCCTTTAATTGGTTCAGACCATGCAGTTATCTCTATAAATCGTTTATACCGCACTTTTACTTCTGAATCACTCTATCATCTCAATACTGCATTGCCACTTTCTTTCTGTCATTACAGATTCTTAACTAATTGTTAGAAATCAAAATCACACCAGCTTCCATTTCTAAATTTATTTTTCAAGTAATTTCTTTTAAAGTTTGTAGTCTAGACAATATTTCTGTCAAAATTTTACAAAAGTGTTTTCCACAACACTTTTCAACTCCCTCTACACTATTTAACAAGTGCTTCTTCTTGGATCATCATTCACTACTGACCTCTTATGGAAACCATATACACAATTCAACGCAAAGTTAACATCTGCTAAGATTTCTTCTCTTTATAGTGCACACCATTTTCTTACTTCCGATTCTATTCTTTACCACCGCATATCTGTTATTCGTTCCTGTATGTAATACTGTTGTCAAATTTGAGCTAGTTATCTAATGATGCTCTTTCTCTTCTAGAGAAGGTTTAAAAACGTATCGTAACTGTGGTTTGACCTGCTCCGTTTTCCAAGTTTGAGCCACTGTCACATTGTTTTAAGGTTGCGTCTGTTTTCTTTTTCTAAAAATATTATGATGGTTGCTGCTCAGACAAACTATTATTTCTAGTTCCATCAACTAAAAATACTCTTTTATGTTTAGTCCCTCTCTTCAAATTTCCATTCCTAAGTCTAATAGCTATGCTTGGAGAGCCTGCAAACCAACAGGCCAAGACCTCTCTGGAGCTGGAGTTTGATTTTGCATGGAGTTCTTAAAATCATCTTTAGTAGAGAATAGGTTATTGTGCAACTTTTCATTCTCCGTCCTTCTTTAACTTTATCATAGTAAATTCAGGATTTTATTAACACCCTTCCCCTCTAATTTTTAGATTTTTTTATTTTACCAGTATAAAGCATAATAAAACAATATCAGTCTACATAAACTAGTTTGATAGATATATAAATAGAAAAACAGAGGTAAAAATTAAATAGATAGCCTAATAATCAATAGTTTAGAGGTTTTAAGTTATCTCTGAAAACCTTGTTAATAGTAACCTCGGTAACTTTGTAAATAGTAACCTTGGTAACTTTAATCTGATAAATAAACTTTATTGTTCTTTAAACAAAATTTTATAGTATTTGAGAGAAAAAAAAACTTTGAATCAAATAATAATTATTCTTTTGTTTTTTGCTTAAGTTTATTCTGAAATAGAATAAACTTAAGCAAAAAATGATTGTAAAAGTTATTATTATAATTTCTTGGGTTAAGATCAACGGTACAATGAAGAAGTTTCTTTATACTCCTAGTGTGGTTTGAAATTTGAACAAAATGTCCCTATTGTTTGCTCTCTAAACACACTAAGACCGGTTTTCTTTTTTTCAACCAATTGTGATACAAACTCGCGGAAAGTGTGGAGTTTTCCTCCACACCGATGTGTAGCTTTCACTCCTAGACACAAGTGTGTAGTTATTTTGCACAAACTTGTGCAAATAACTCCACACATCTGAGCAGAAGTTGAGTTAGAAAAAGTTAATTTCCACAAAAGTGTGCAAAATAATTCCACACTTGTGTCTAGGAGTAATAGCTACACACCGGTGTCTAGGAAAACTCCACACTTTCCGCGAGAGTGTACATGATGAATAACACCATATACCTTTGTTGTAACAAGTACAAAAATATTGATGTAGTTTTATAAATATAAAGAAAAATTATGAAATATCTAGTTTCTTAGCTAGTCATATTTTGGCCCTTAACAAAATTCAAAAAAGTTTTTTGACCAAATAGTTTACCACGCCATACAAAACATGTAATTCCTTGCACCACCCATATAGTTCCTTGTTGGTCGGATTACCTTTAAGTTGTTGTTATTTATTGGGAAACTCAAGCAATTAAAATTGGAAAACATTTTTGAAGTTTTTTTGACTTTTTGATGTCTCCCCAAAATTTATAAATTTTGATGGTACCTTTTTTATTTCACTAAAAATTTTAAACTGATAACAGTTCATTAGGTTTGAAAAGTTAATCAACAACGAATGAACGCAAACACCTAATCAATAACGAATGAATGCAATCAGAAATTTTAATTGAAACTTTGTTAGCTTAACGAGAGTTTTGAAACTTGAAAAGGTTTGTAGTATATCCTGTGCAAGTACAATCGTGTACTTGCACAGGATATCGTTTACGTCATCATTGAAAAAAGTGTAAACCTCATTTTCAGAAACGACTCACCTCCATTCATTTATAACTTTACAATTGATGAATCATTTAACTATTTAGATTACCGACAATTTCTCACAAGTTGTTTTTTATTTATTGTGAAAATAACTTGTGAGACAATTTCTTACAAGTTATTTTCGTGATATGTTCCTGGAGTACATGATAAAAAATGAGAACGCAATAAGTAAGACTACGTTAAAGAATGAATAAACAACGATAAAGAATGTATAAACTACGATAAAGACTTGAAAAATTACGATAAAGAATGGATAGGCACATGATGCACCGTTTTTCAACATTTTGATCAATTATTTAATTCTTTGTTATTAAATTTTCATAATTGAAAAGGTCATGTGTTTTTTTTTCTTTTCAGTTTTCCACTATTATGCAGGTTAAACATTAACAAAAGATGAAAAAACCTGCTGCTGGCTTAATAAAAACTGATGCAAATTTGTAAAGTTGAGCGATATAATGTGTATTTCTTCCGTCTAATTTTCCAATTAGAAAAAAAAAAACTTCATACAATTGCTGAAGTCAACTCTGTCATCTTGAAATTGGAGGTCATTTAAAACAAACTATCAAATTTACAACTGGTCAAGTTTTGTAAACTGGCTATTGTTTATCTTCATGAAGAAAATACAAACAGAAATTATGCAGGTTTTATGAGTTCTCAAATCGTTTTACATTTTGTTTTAAATATTTTACACAATAAAGTTTTTTTTGAAAAATAATTTATACAGAAAAATTATTTATTTTTTTTTTTTAATATCTAAACAAATAATTAAATGATTAAATTTTAAAGTAAGCATTATTGGTTAGAGTCCCTTTTTGGAAACCCAATGAATATTTGATTTAAGAATTGATTTAACCAATGAATTTGATTTAACAATTGATTTAACCAATGAATATTTGGTTTAAGAATTGATTTAACCAATAAATTTGATTTAGCAATTGATTTAATCAATAAATATTTGATTTAACAATTTGACTAAACTATTAATAATAAGTAAATAAATTAATAAAAAGAATAAGTAATAAGTAAATAAATTAATAACAATTACTTTTTGTAAACCAATAATGATTACCAATAATCTAAACTTTGTAAATTATTTACAACAATTAAAAAAATTAAATATTAAAATTTATTTCTGATAAAATAAATCAATAATTGGAGACCCAGTGAAAAATGGCTCATGCAACAAACTAATAGGCCCTGAGTTAGACACTTCCGTTCAAGGCCCTGAGTTAATCATTTCTGTTTAGTAATTAATTAGTAAGCTTTTATTAACAAAAAAATGATACTTCATACTACCCGAGATCTAATCCTACCAGTGGCAAAAATTAAATTGTTTTAATGAATGAAAATTTCATAACTTAAAAAAGTAACACGGAACAGAATGAAAAAATTAATGCCAACTGAAAAGACCACCTACTAGCATGTATTGCAGGCTCAGGGCAAAAAGGTTGTAACTGACATTTTTGCAAAACGGAAAAATCACGTTAGAAAAGTTTAGGTTTTTCATAAATCAATGCTGCAACAGTTTGCCCCTATGCAAATACAGCACGCTGAGGCCAATTTTGGGACAATTCGACCATGTTTAGGTACAGTCCCAAAAACGACATCGGATTATACGCTAAACTTAATTTGCGCCGTTTTTTCAGTTACAACGAAAATAAATCTTTTATAAAACACTTTATTAAAATATTTAACGAGATGTTTTGTTAAAATTTTCCGGATGCAAGCAACTAAAAACACCTCCGTTCGCTGTGTAAATGAAAAAACTTTATCATATTTGCACCCAAGGCGCAAACGTCATAAAAACAAAATTCAAATTTATTAACTATACATAATAAATATGCCTTATAGTTCGTCAAACAATTGACATTTTTTCTGGTTGAGCCGTGAGTATTTTTAACCATAGTTAGGTGTTAATGAAGCAAACTATTAGTCAGGTATTAAATTAGTAAACAAAATTAAAAAAAAAAATCAAAACATTTGTACTATTTAAAAAAATCAAAGGGTAAATTAAACCAGTTTGAAACTTATTTCAATACATTCTTAACCATTCCTAATTCTTAATTTAAAAAAACACAGAAACATGTTTACATTGTTGGGGGAACTAAACACTAAAGATGAGTTTCCGTTTGATCTGGGAAAAATAATCACGTGAGCTTCAAAAAAATTAAAATTTGAGTGATTTTTCTTTTCACTTTCCCGGAGAAAATGTAAGCTTCAATACGAAACAAAAATATCAAAAGTTTTATAAAATCTTTCACCATATAAATTTAATAACAGTAATTATAATGCCACGTTTCTTGATAAAAAAGTTTTATTATTCGTATTATTAATTATGAAAGATATTATTTTCCAACATTTTGTTCGCCTCTTTGTTCAAGTCTAGGGACTTGAGAGATTCTGTAAATTAGTTTACACTACTTTTTTATGGTGCTCAAGCGAATATTCTCTGGCGTCTATGTGAAAATTCTCTGGTGCTTACGTAATATTCTGTCCCGTTAATGTGACTACTTTTTTTGTTTATTTACTGCGTTATTCGCTAAGAAAATTAAAACTTTATTATTACACTAATATATCTCAAATCTTTTATAGTATGCACATAAATAAATAAACTTATATACAAATGAAATCAATAAAGATAAAAACATTTATTTGAATATAATACTAATTTTTTTAAAACTTAATCAACGTTGCTTTGGTTTTGCCTCTATTGGTAGAAGAACAGTATTTTTTTTTTTTTTTTTTTTTACAAACTTAGGTATAATATAATCATTGTTATGGTTGATTTAAAATAAAATAAAACCTTTTACCACCTTATTAAATAAATTTAAAAAACAAAGTTTTTAATTAACTTTATGTTTAGTTAAAGCAATTTGCAGATTTTGACAGTTATTTCTTGGATCCTTCATGACTGCTTTGTGGTCGTTAAGTCGTCATGCAATTTGAATATAAATTAGAAAATATCAGCCTGCATATTTCTTATCGAAAAGAGATTTGGGTAGAATTAATTGCATCAACAGTTTTATTGATTGACAACTTTTTCTATGTGTTTACTAACACTAGTTGTTGTGAATTTCATTTTCTTCTATATTAATGTCTTCAACAAGTATAGCTGGTAACGGACTTGGTAACGGACTTGTTGGTGGTTTCTTTCCTTGAACGTTATCATCTGCTCTTCTTGCTCTTGGGATTCCTAGTGGATCTAACCTTTTAAAAGGATTGACTTCTTCACCTTTCTATATAGTAAAAATAAAAAATAAAATATCAAACAAGTATACAGCTTGCTATGTTGATAAAATAAAAGAGTATAAGAGGGGTTACCTCTCATCCACCTCCCTCCTCCCTCCTCCTTCCTTCCCACTCTCCCACCCCCACACACACTAAAAGATGTGCGACTATTTTGAGAATAAATATGAAAATATACAAAAAAAAATTTTATTTTTGTTTGCTAAGATTTGTTTTTCATAATACAAATAATATAAATACATTTAAAAAAATTAGGAAATTATTAAAACGTTTATACATATAGTTGCATTTTAAATTGTTATGCGATATAAAATCGCACAATTTATTAAATAAACTAATTTGTATAAACATATTAGGGTAACTTTACCTATTTTCGCCCACCACTCAATTTTGCCCACTATCTTTAATTGCTTACAGTATTGGACAAAACATTTGCAACCAACATCGAACAATGCAAAAAAGTGTTCCTAATTTTACATGTCTTAAAAACGAAACAAACTATACTACCACAGCAAACAGTTCAGGAGTCTGGAGTCATAGCATGCCATGACATGAGCAATCAGCTGACAGGCTTGCAGCGGACAAAACAAGTGCAACTTTTTTGGTTTGTTTCATTTTCTTAAGTCTGGTTCGTGTCAACGCCACGGGTTTTTTAATAATTAAAGAAAGTATCCAGAAGTTTCCAGAAGCATGTAGAAGCTTCAGAAGTTTCCAGAAGTTTCCAGAAGAAGCATCTGGAAGCTTCCAGAAAAGAAAGCTTCCAGAAGTTTCTAGAAGAAGCATCTGGAAGCATCCAGAAGCATCCAGAAGTATCCAGAAACATTCACAAGCATCCAGACGCATCCAGAAGCTTCCAGAAGCATAGAAAAAAAGCATCTAGAATCTACCAGAACAGGTTCACACAGGTTCATTTTACTATATAAGAGTCATGTAAACCGACATGTAATTCAGTCAGTATATGGAAGTCAATCAGTCAGTATTATAAATACGGTTTCTCAAAGTGAGTTTTATCAAAGTGTTTTATCGAAGAACATCGATACAAGAAGTGAAACACAACAAGTATTTCATTACATCAATACAGTCCACATCCAACCAGACGTTGTGTTCCACAGAGCATTATTGTATCATCACAAGGTAAATGTAACACGGTAAGCCTTGAGAAGCGTGGTTATTTATTTTTATTATTTTTATAACTTCAAGTGCAAAAATGGCTCCCGACAGTCTTGGATTGGAACTAAAAAAGAAAATTATTGGCGATTAGGTAGTTGGAATGTCACAAAAAAGTATTTGTGATAAATATCGCGTGAAAGTATGGACCGTATCAAGAATATGTTCCAAATATCGTTCTACGTGGAAGTTGGCAGCAGATAACAAAGGTGGATGACCGCGTTATCCACCACTTCTAGAGAGGATTCAATGATCGTCAGATCTCTCAAGAAGGATCCCTGGATATCATCAGTCGACATATAAAAGCAATTAGAGCTGCCTGTATCGGACCGAACAATCAAACAACGTGCTGTTGAAGCCGGATTATTTTCTTGACGCCCTGCAAAGAAACCGCTGATTTCACTAAAAATCCAGAAGAATAGACTCCTGTTTGCTACCTCTCATATGGACTGGAATGTGCAGAAATGGCGAACTGTCCTGTTCAGTGATAAATTGAAGTTCAACATTATTGGGAGTGATGGCGTTTGCCGTGTACGTCCACCGGCCGGAAAACGCCTCAATTTACGTTACTGCCATAAGACCGTAAAGCATGGTGGAGGCAATGTAATGATCTGGGGGTGTTTTTCTGCTAACGGTCTAGGTCCAATATATCGAATTGATGGAATAATGAACCGTTTCATGTATAAAAATATCCTGAAAGATGTTATGTTACCTCATGCTGAATGGAATATGTCAATAAAATGGGTTTTTCAGCAAGACAAAGATCCGAAACACTGCGAAAGTAGTCAAGCAGTGGTTTCAAGACAACCACCTATCGGTGATGGATTGGCCGCCTCAATCTACGGATCTCAACCCTATCGAGAACCTGCGGGAGATCGTCAACCGCAGAATTAATCGTGAAGGTGTTTGTAATAAGAATCAACTGTTTGAACAAATCCAAAAGATTATAATTTAACTTTGTTCTCCACTGTTAAATCTGATTGCAATAACATTTATTATCGTTTGTAATAGTTTTAATATGCATAAAATTGTTTTCGGCTTAACCTACCAAATTAACTCAATCTTTGCCCACAAAATAAATATATTGTCGCCCAATGCATTTATTCTCGCCCGGGTGGGCGAGAATAGATTTAACATAATATATTAAGATTTACGCTACCAGCAGTTTTAACAAAAAAAAAACCTTTTGCCGTGACCATTTTTTTCTCATTAAATTGAGATGACATATTTAAAAAATAATTGAAAAACAAAATCATAAAATTTTGTAAGGAGAGCATAATCTTTTTGAATGCTTACAAAGGAGTGTTTTCTTATATTTTTTTATTCTATATATTACTGAGGAAATTATTTTATAAATTAATTACCCTTAATTCAACATTCTTGGCATTATTGTAAAAATGAACCCCAAATTTACTTAATGAATGGTTTGACAAAAATTGATGATATCCGCGTTAATTTATCTTTGATTGCCTTCAAAACAATACTCTTCCTCTGTGTATTGTTATTGAGGAAATTAATGAAAAAATAAATTGCTATGGCTCTGCGTTGAGTTATTATATAAAAAGAATGTTTTTATTCTTCTTTAATAGACTTTTGTAATTACTTAGCTAAATGCTTATTTACTTCATTGTAAATTAAGTACTGCGAAGTTCTAGGGTTGGGATTAGGTTACAAATACTAACATATGATTTTCACCACGTGTTAATATTTGTAGCTCTTGTAAATTTGCAGCACTTTATTAAATTAAAATGACATTCATACTGCAATTTAATTTATCTAGGTATTGTTTTGAAAAAAAAACATGGTTAAAACAAGAGGTGGGGTATGTAGATCATCACCAAGATTTCACCGGATGTCGGTTGGAAAGATTGCTTCTGTAACAGAGGCTACAATATGTTATAATACAACTCATCTTCATAATGGTATAACTCCTTCAACATCTGGTAGTAGTACTCTTGACATTTGTCAAATGAAACAGCTACCAATAATTGATGTTTCTTTAACTCGTTTCAATGGTTCCAATCATTCCATTGATCAATCAGTTACTGTTAAGAAACGGGGCAAATTCCTGAAATGAAGTGAAGAAAATATGATATGTGCAATTAAGGATGTCAGATGAGAGCTATCATTTTCAGTGCGTAAGGCAGCTATATTGTAAAATGTGCCACGTACAACACTGAGAGACAAACTTTCTGGATAAGTTGTTATTGGAGCAAATCCAGGAAGAAAATCTATTCTACCTTTTGCTCTGGAAGAAAAACTTTTCAATTATGCCAGCAATAGAGCAAAGTTAGGGGTTGTTTTTGAAAAGTCACACTTCCTGAATTATGCTGGGAAACTTGCCGCAAAATATGAATTAAACTTCAAGAAAGGACCTGAAGCTGAGTGTTTTGCACCAAGCAACCAGTGGTGTACTAGAGTTAAACACCGGCATGGGCATAAATTTACTCTGCGACAATCTGAGGGTACCTTCAGTTCGACATCAGTGTATGGATAAAGATTAAGTACTTTAGTGCTTTGAATGACGTCATGGCGAGAAATGGTTTTCACGTTAAACCAGAATCTATATGGAATATGGATGAAACTGGTCTACAGCTTGATGTAAAACCAAGAAAAGTGGTTACACGAAAAGGCACAAAAAATCGGATGGGCACGATTCTCACAAATTTATTGAGTTAATTGATATTGCTATCCAGAACCAGATACATATAGTTGAAATTCCTTCACACACATTAAACTGACTTCAACCATGCCACCGCACCTTATTCAAGTCACTGAAGGATTGTTATTGCTCTACAGTACAAGATCTTTAGGGTCATTTTCCAGGAATTATTACTTATCGTTCAAATTTTGCAGGGGTATTTGCTTCAGTTTGGGAAAAAACAATGACTTCTAGCAACTACATCTGGGTTCAAGTCGTGTGGAATTTATCCATTTAATCCTCAGGCTATTCCTAGTGATGCATATTTACCAAACTAACTACACATAGCTGAAGATATATCAGTTAATACAACTGAAAACAATTGTTCGTTTCAAAAGTAAAGTTGCTAATTATCTAGAACAATTTTAAAATGGCACTGAATAAGATAACGCAACTCACAGTTCGTTACAAAGCAACACTTCTATTTTGGAAGCAGAGACTGTTGTTCGTAATAATCAGCTTGTATATTTAGTCAATCCAGTTGAAGAAAAAAATGTTGACTGCATCGTGAATAGTTTTACCAATCTTACTAAGCAAAAAAAAAAAAAGAAGTCTTAGAACCATTAAACTTTAATTCTACTACAGTTTCAGATTTTAAATACTTGTTCTTTTATTGAATATTTTATTCTTTTATTAAAACTGATGGAGATAATGATGCCTTGGCATATCCTAAGGCCACCGCACGGAAAAAGATAGCAAACAGAAAAGGTCAGCTTAAATACTATGTTTTAACTTCTCAAGAAGCACACTCAGCAAAGCTAAAATATCACCAAGGCAAAATCTAACAGGAAAGAGAAAAATTCGAAAGAAAACAACTACGATTTGTTAATGCTGCTAAGCGACTCAAAGAAAAAGAAGAAAAAAAGGTATTGGCTAAGAAAAAAAAATTAGAAATTTGTGCCTACAAGTCTATAGCAACAACAATAAAGAAGTTCATTTCATTATCATCTGAATTACAACCATTGGTTGATCCCGAGAACAATACTGACTAATATGTACTAAACATTTGACAATATTTTTTTATATAACTAAAAATGCATGCAACTTCGTCTTATCTATATAAACTTTTTTATTATTTTTATTTATGAATTACTCTAATGGTCTTATTTGCGATAAAACCTAATAGTCTTATCACTAAGAACCGCCACAAGGGCCTAACCATTTAATGAGTTGGTTCCCCATTTCGAGCTTTACCGATAATGTATAAGTGTTTCCAGCAGGATTCGAACTCGCAACCCTTATACAATGATTACCTTGCTCTAATCACTGCGCCACGGCTGCTCAATATAAAAATTAAACTTATGACTGAGGCAAAAAGAAGAAAATATTTGTCATATCACTACGGCTCGTAAGCATTGATGTGTTGAAACTATACTTTATTTACACATTTTACAATTACAATTGAGATTGATCTCAGAATCCAGATTCAAGTCAGAATCTAGGGATAAAGTTGGCATTCACGAAAACCCCATGGTTCTATACTTTTCTATTTAAATTGGTGCAATTGAGTATAGAAATTAACTAAAGAGACTTAATCTCACTCACCTGTATATAACGTCGCCCTACGCAAGTATAAGTTCTTTTTTAATTTACACAGTGTGCGACTTTAAATCAACATGGCGAGATTGAGTTCAAGTGGGCGAGAACCAGTGCTTTTGACACACTGTACAATTTATAATGATACTGCCAACAAATCTCATAAAATCTAAATAATTTTACATAGTTTTGTAGCTAAAGGAATAAGCTGTCTAATGATGCATAATTCAGCTGTGCAAGTCAATAAAAGCCTGTCAACAACAACTTCAGTGCGAATGTGGCCGAGGTTCGATTAAGTTACTCTATACAGTAAAATGTAACAATGTTTCATTATAATATTTTTAAAGTATTCTTTTAGTTTGTTTTTAAAAGAAATTGATAAATCAACTTTTTTTTAAATAATTTTGTTCTAGAGTACGGTGAACAATCGTTTAAACTTACAATAAAATGGTTTATTCATATTGTTATCATTTTAGCAAAAAAAATATTCAAAGTATTCATTTTTACATTTACAAATATAGACGGACTTTTTCTTGCTATCGGACTATCTAATTCTTGCTATCGGACAATCAGGAAGAATTTCTAAATAACAAAAAAACAACAACTTATTTTTAAGTCTCCATTTAGAAATTCTGATTTTTTAATTAATAAGTTTTCTTGATCTAAATAAGTAATTATTTTAAATTTTTTTTGCACAAAATAGTTAAAATTTTTTGGAAACGTTATTTAGACAGAAAAATTTTTAAAAAAGATCAATTAACTCAGCATTAAAATTTTTTAAAGTTTACATCCCAAATATATTTGATAGCCTATTCACTTTTATCAATTCTATCACAACTATAAACAAATGATTGTTTATAGCTGTGACAACATTTTTTTCCATTCATATGTATTGTGATAACATTTTGTTCCATTTATATGTATATATACATATATACATACATACAGGGTATATACATATAGGGTAATCAACTTTGTGTTTGCTATTATAATTTGAGCAGTCGTGGCGCAGTGGTTAGAATTTTTGCTCAGAAGCCATAGGTTTGAAGTTCAAAACCGGCTCTAGCCTAAGTAAGCGACAATGGTAAGGAAGGAGGTGTGAACTTCTTTGTTAAATACTCTTCCGCAGTGTTTTATGATAAGACTTCTGGAAGAACCTTAATAGCTACAAAAAAAAAAAAAAAAAAAAAAAAAAAAAAAAAAAAAAAAAAAATTCCAGTGTTTTTTCCATAAACAAATTCTTTTTTGAAATATTTTATAAGTGCAAGAGAGTACAAGACAAATAATAGTATTTTGACAGATGACAGATGACAGATGTCCAATATTGAAAGGTGGTGTTTAAAAGGGGAGTATTATTCAATGATTACGTTTGAGTTAAGTAAGTGTTGGTCATAATAGATTTAAGTGTTGTTTCAGTGTTCTGTAAGTTATTGTGTTTTGTATTTGTACTGTTCTAAACGTTAAAGTTTTATGTGTCATTTAATCTCTTCATTTAATTTGATTCTCAGTTCCGATCTTATTATGTTCTCTTTATATATAAGGTTCGCAACTAGAACAAGTGAGTATAGTCACTAGTGGAACATATTTAGCCGTAAATGCCTTAGAGAAAAGAAGTGATTGATTATATTAGAAATTGTTATTATTTTTACTTATTTCCAGTTTTGTTTAACTTAATACAGGTTCAATTATAATTCATACCGTTTAGTGGAGTTGATCGTTTTAGTAAATTTGTTTTATAAAAACATACACCTTTTAATGGAAATATTCGTTTTAAATTTAGTTTATATACTCAAAGAGCGACAAACACAATAAGTCTGTTTATTTTCATGCAACCCGAACACCTTCAGTCTCAGATAAAAAATATTTGAATTTGAATAAAATATTTGAAAATAAATATTTGAAACCTATATGAATTTGTAAGATAAATATACAAAAACTATATATATATATATATATATATATATATATATATATATATATATATATATATATATATATATATATATATATATATATATATATATATATATATATATATATATATATATATATATATATATATATATATATATATATATATATATATATATATTTAAAACAACTTTTTTGAGAAAAACCAGCTCCCACCCCCTAAATGTGTTCTATTTAATACAAAAACAATAGATTTAAAATTTTTTTGAACAAAAAATATTTTAAGGGGACCCTCAAGACCCTCGAATATTTATTGGACCCCTAATATTTTCAAAAAAAATATTTTTCAAAAATATGTCAACTTGGTACTTAATCGAAGCGAAAATTATATAAAAATTTCAAAAATAATATTCATTTGAAAAAAATTGTTATTTTTGGATTTATTACTTAAAAACTTACGTTTTTTAACAAAAAATGAAAAAAATGCATTTTTTATGTTTTTTTATGATAATTTTAATAAAAAGTTGAAATTTTTATAAAATGAAAATAACTTTTGAAGTTTTTATGTAATTTTGCTTCATTTGAGTACCAGGTTGGCAAATTGAAAAAAAAAATTTTTTTGAAAATATTAGGGACCTATTAAATATTCGAGGGTCTTGAGGGTCCCCTTAAGATATTTTTTATTCAAAAAAAATTTAAACCTAGTGTTTTTGTATTAAATAGAACACATTTAGGGGTTGGGAGCAGGTTTATATATATATATATATATATATATATATATATATATATATATATATATATATATATATATATATATATATATATATATATATATATATATATATATATATATATATATATATATATATATATATATATATATATATATATATATATATATATATATATATATATATATATATATATATATATATATACAGTGGCGTTTTTGAAATAACCAACTTATAAACAACAAGAATATTCCAAATTTTTTTTACCTTTATATGAATGACGAAAAGATTCTTTAAAAAAAAATTACTTAAAATCTTAGCCACCTTGCCCCAAACGTGAGAGCAACAAGATGATGAAACATTTTTTGTACTATTTTCAACTAGACTTATATTCATCAAGAAATTTTAAATTTCATATTTCATAGTTTGTATATATAAAACAAGTTGTTATAGTAATAACTAAATCTACTGTAACTACTTTAATTAGTAGTTATAGTAGATTTAAATTAACTCACTGGAAATTAATAATTGAAATAATAAAAAAAACTTGCGTAATTAAGTTTACTTCAAATAAGGTTTTCTACAGAAAGCTGAAACTATTTTTAGTATTATTACCTCATTTGAGGGTTCAGAAAAGTCGTTCTGGCTTTCTTCGAAGCCATTGTTTTCTTTAGAAACTCTCGCTGGGTTCAGTGGAACTTGAATGCGAGGTCTCAATTGTTCTGTTTTTGTATTTTCATTTTCTGGTTGTCCTGGTTTTGCAAAAGGGATGCCGAGCTTGTCAATCCAAGTAAATAAAACTTTGTTACGTCGTTTAATAATCTAAATTATAAACGTAAAAATTAGCATTCAAAGTCACTCTTACAATAAAAAAAAATATTTAATATTAATTTTATAATTTAAAAAAATATATATTATTTTAAATTTTGACTAAGTTTAATTCCATGAACTTGAAAACTTAATAAAAATTTCGAAAAAGACCACAAAATAGATTCTCTAATCGAAATATAGGAACTTAGTTTTACCTTTCAATAGCTAATTGACTATAAGGGATCGTCCATTAATTACGTAACGCAAACTTTCAAAACAAACAAATCAAAAAAGATAAAAAAAGTTTCCTCGCAGAGTCTTAATTTAAAATAAAAATCAAATTAGCCAATTAAGTTTAATGAAAATAACCGCCTAAAAAAGCTTAATAGCGTAAAATGGGGTCAAACGGAATAGTTAAGGATTTTAATTATTAATTTTTTACTGAAAAAACTTTCTTTTAAATTTAGATGAGATCACTGGTTGAGGATAAAATTCGAAACGAATATTTATAAAACTGGTTGTTTATAGTAGAATGTTTTCCCTGCTCGTTGTATATATATATGCTATGTATATTTTACGGCTACAACTATAATAATAATAAAAAAAAAAGATTTTTCCTTTTTTTTTTTTTTAAAAGTTGTAGAGAGTATTGAGCTGTATTTAAATATGTAAAAATCTTACAATTTTTTTGTAAAGTTTTTTATGAAACTTTATTTGATTAAAAAAAAAATTTATTCCATTCTACACTGACATTCGGGGAGAATGAAATACGCAACTATAAGTGTAATTAAAACAACGCTTTATATATATATAAAAAAAAAAGCAATCAATTAAAAAAATAATCAATAATAACAATTAAAAAAATCAATCAAGTAAAATAAACTTTTTTATTCTTTTATGCATCCAGGCCCGTGCGGTAGATTTTCTCATTATGAGGCAGATCTTCGAAATGCCGCCCCTTAAATGTTTTTCTTTAAAATAACCTTCGATTGTGATTTTAAAAAAAACTGCACAAAATGTACGAATTCTTTTTTTTATTTTGAAATTTTAAAATAATGATTTCAACTATAAACTGCAACAATGTACAGTATTACAGCTTTACTCTTCTAACTTTAACTTGAGCAAATTCGTTAATTACTGATGTGTAGTCTAGAGTGCTAGCCATTGCAGATTCAATAGAAATTAATGCCAGATTTTAAAGTTTTGTTTGTCCTATTGAACTTCTTAAGTAGTTTTTTATTAATTTTAATTTGGAGAAACTTCTTTCCCCACTAGCTACAGATACAGGGAGAGTTAATAAAATTCTCAGAGCTACAACAGTATTTGGATACAAACTAATTAAGCTATTTTGGCATAAATAATTTAAAACATCCAAAGGTTTCGTAGAATATGGTAGCATTCTGGATACATCACGCAATTCTTCTCTAAGGTCATTTGCATTTATATCTGTTTCATTTTCAACCGAAAGTATAAACTCAAGACTGGAACAATAATTTTCTAGCGTTTTGTCATCTATATCCTTGAGTTTTAAAATGTCATATAAGAACTGAAATTTTTTGCTATGGGTTTCCAGAAGCGTGAATCGTTCATTCAGAGAATTAAGGGTAATGTCCAGAATATAGTTGAAAAAGTTTATTTTAAATTTTTTCTCCTCTGTTAAGGGTTCATTGACAGCTTTTTCATAGTCAAATTGACGCTTTTTCCTTCTGGGTCTAACTTCAGTGTCATCAGGAAATTCTGTACTGCATTCAAGATTCTCTGCTATCTCCTTTGCAGCAATTTTCATCTGAATATATCCAGATTGTCTATAACTTTTCACTTTTTTTATGGTTTCTGATAGCATCCTTACACAATCTGATATATTTATAGTAACAGATTGCAAAAGCTTCGAAACTGAATTAATTTCAAACAAAATATCATGCCAAAGAATTACTCCACATATAAACTTGTAATTTTTAATATTTTTTGCTAACCCTCTCGCTTTAACTTTAGTTTCTGCATCTCTATTGACGTCTTCTATTATCAGAATCAATGCATCATAGATTTCGCAAAGTTGAAATCGTAAAGGTTTTAAAGCATCTATTCTGCTTGCCCACCTAGTAGCACTTAATGGTTTCAGAGTTAATTGAGAAACATATTTTTTTAGCACTTCCCAACGCTTTGTAGAACCAGAAAAAAAAGTGTAAAGTTCTTGTACAATAGAAAAAAAATGTTGTTTCTGTAGTAGAAGACGCTGCATCATTCACAACAAGGTTTAAAGAATGGCATGCGCAGGGCACATAAAAAGCCCTTGGATATTTTTCAAGTATTCTATTTTGAACACCCTTTCTTACTCCTTTCATATTGGCTCCGTTGTCATAGCCTTATCCTCTAAGCCACTTTAACTCAAAACCTAATTTTTCCAAATGTGTCAGAATAAGTTTTGCCAAACCTTCTCCGGTTGAATCACTAGCTTCAAAAAAACCAATAAAGAATTCTGCAATTTCATATTTATTTTGAATGGAGTTAAAAGTAACAACTCTTATTTTTAAGGAGAGCTGCTTATAATGACTGACGTCGGGGGTACAATCAGCGATTATAGAAAAATATTTAGCGATTTTTGTTATTTCGACAATTTTTCTTAAAATTGAATTTCCCATTAAGTTTATCAATTCATCTTGTATATTATTGCTTAGATAAGTCACTGACCATTTATCAGACTCTCGTTGAACTCTCCTGATATGTTCTTCCATAACTGGATCAAACTCAGAAAGTAATTCTACCAACTTTAGGAAGTTCCCGTTATTAGGTTGAAACAAATGTTCAGTTGACCCACGAAAAGCTAAACATTGTGAGGCCAATAGTTTAATTATTGACATAATTCTTTTTATAACTTCTCTCCAATGCTGAAGTTCCATATCCATAATTCGTTGATATTCAGCGTCAATAGTTTTTTTCTGCTTCAATCGAATGTCCAATTCTTTCCATGCTCTAAAAGCATTTCTGTGATTTACAGACTTTTCGTGCATTGTGAGGGCTCTTATAAGATTTTTCCAGTCAGAATAGCCTTTTTTGGGCCAGTCACTAATATCAGACGAATTATCAAATAATATACAACAAAAGCAAAAAACGGCATCACTTGCAATAGAGTAAATAAGCCAACTTCTCTCAACGACTTCACCATTGCTCAACACTTTCGAATAATACGAGGGCAAAAATCTACGCTTTCCTTTATTAATAGGAAACTCAAATTCTTTAATTTGATGGGGACTCCTCTCAACCAGTAGTTGACGAGTTTGAGATGACATGCAGAAAGTAAGCCATAATGCAGGATCTGAAGGAATTTCTTTTAATACCTGCTGACTGCCACTGCTAATGCGGCCCGGTTCTGATGATGTTATTTTTTGGATCTCTTCAACAATTTTTTCTGGAATTGATTGGGGCGGCACTGTGTTTTTATTTGCCAAATCCAAGGCAGTCGCAGTTGACGTGGATGTGCTGCCCGGCTGTTCATGAAGATCTGATGGTGTTAGTATTTAGCTCTCTTCAACAACTTCTTCTGGAAGTGATTGGGGCGGCACTGTGTTGTTATTTGCCAAATCAGTTGCTGCTGATGTGGATGGCTCATCTAAACCGCACTTTTGTACTAAGAATTTCTTCATAACATTGCTGAGCTTTCTTTCTTGTTTCTCATTCTTTAAGCGTTTCTTTTTGTATTGACTTCCAGATAATTTTTTTCTTTTTTGTTCCATGCTGACGATTGCTGTCACTGCTGTAATAAATTTTTGTAAAAATTTTGTAAAATCTTTGTAATGTCATCATGTTTTTAACAGTTAAAAACATGATGACATTACAAAGTTAAAATTTAACTTGCAAAGACAGGCAAACACAAACGTTTAAAAACGTTTGAAAACAGTATTTTAAAACATAATAAGAAAATAGTCCACGTTAATATGCGTTTCAAAACGTTTTTATTCATATTTGAAAGGAATAGCAAAAGCGAATGCTAAATGAGGGAGAAATTTTTTTTTTATTTTTATAGAAAAATGTGGACAATGAAAAAACTTTTAAAGTGATAAAAACATTCACGAGTTTGGTAGTAATTAAAATTTAAATGAGTCCAGTTTATGATTTAGTACCTAATTATTATTGCAACCCTGAAATTGCATTTTGATTTCGCTACTTTGCCGCCCCTTAATGGTGCCGCCTGAGGCGGCCGCCTCTTTGTATCATAGCACCGCACGGCCCTGTATGCATCGCTTGGGTATGCATGTTTGCCAAACCTTGCAATTTGAATTTTTACAGTGTTACCTTTCCATATTTTAACTTGCTAAAATTTCGCCGAAAACCTTTCGGCACTTTTTACACTTGAATTGGTTTGCAGCTAATATTTTCGTTGGATTTGTTGCTTGGTTTATTTGCTGTTCTCCATTGGAGCTAAGCTTAAGTTATTTTTTAGCTTGCTTTTTTTCTTTTTTGCTCTCAGCATCTTTCAACCTTTCAAGTATTTCAGGTTTGTTGAGACACTCCCATTTGAACCTTGGCTCATCTACATTTTTTCTTTTTTTTGTGTCAACGTGTTGGATACGAAACATTTGTTGCAAAGCTGCTGCAAGTGGTTGCACTAATTGCAGTTGTTTTACAACCTCTTTTTGAATTTCCTTTTGAATAGCTAGAGTTACTACAATATTGGAGGTTGTTTGCAGACAAGGTGACATTTGAGATGACTTTGGAGCTGATGCTATGTGACATATGCTGATGCTAGATGTTGTTGGTGTAGATTTAGAGGGCAGTGGCTGAGTTAGTGTAGTTGCTGGTGCTAGATTAGGTGATGGCACTATCATAGAATCTGATTGTTGAGATGATGAAGGCTCAGATTTAGATGTCGGTGTTTCAAACGTATAAGCAATTTGAAACTTTGACTGATCAATTTTATCGATGTCGAGTGAAAACAAGCCAGTATTCTGAAACCCAGTGACTATCTGGATACGTGTAAAAACTTCACCAGAGCTGAAAAGTTTTTTTTGCAGGTG